GTCTTTTATCACTATACTGTGTGCGGAATTAAAAACTAAATTAATAGCTTACGTTATCATACTAATATTATAAATGCGAAAGTTTAGATGGATGGATGGATATTTGTTAGAGTTTGTAGCCTAAACGGCTATACGGATATCGATGAAATTTGGCATAGTCGTCGAGGATAGTCTGGAAGAACACATTTGATTTTCAGATTCAGTTTTGATTTTTTTAATTCCACGCGGAAGGAGTCGCGGGCGAAAGCTAAAGTAAATCAAATTTATGGAGTTACCTGACATTTATACAATTCTTGCTGTCTCTCTTTCCAGTCTTCTAATTCTTCGATAAACTTTTGCATTATAGCCTCCCTTTCCAATGCGGGTACGAATTGTTTTACCATATCTGTTAAAAATATAAAAATTATTCAATTTTACGAAAAATTACTTCTAGATATTCATTACGTTTAAATTTATTAAATCACACTAATATTATAAATGCGAAAGTTTAGATGGATATTTGTTAGAGTTTGTAGCCTAAACGGCTGAATGCATCTCGATGAAATTTGGCATAGATGTAGAAGATAGTCTGCAAGAACACATAGGCTACTCACTTTTTTTTTTCACTTTTTTTATTTCCACGCAAACGGAGTCGCGGGCGATAGCTAGTAGACAATTAAATTACCACAATAGCTTACCTTTTTCTGAATACATTTTATTTTCTTTATCTTTAATATCACTGGAATTATCAAAAGATACATTATTTTCAAACAAAATAGAACATTTAAAGATACAATCATTAAAAACATACCAATTATTTTGTTTATCGTCATTTTCATGTGTATCTCCGTCTCTTTCCATCATATGGCAGTGTATATCTGTCTCGTTCCCGCACTGAACTTGCACGTCCGTTGTGAACGGTTTCTGTTGGGACTTCTCCTGGCTGAGAGCGAGAGAATCGCACATCTTTCTTAATAATTCCGTTATTTCACTCGTTTGGAGGATATTCTCGCCATTCGCTGTTTTATATCTTAAATGTAGATATTATTATGTTATTTATAATAATGCTAGGTTTCGCCCGCGACTCCGTCCGTGTTGAATTAAAAAAATGTAGCCTAGGTGTTATTCCAGACTAGGGATTACAAACTCCAACAAACATCCATCTAAACTTTCGCATTTATAATATTATAGTACGATTCCATATTATAAATACGATTCCAAAATGGCTTAATATTAATGAAATTTAGCACAGATGTAGAACATAGTCAGGAAGAACACATAGACTACGTAAAAGTTTTTCTAAATTCTTCTCAGACGATGTCACAAGCAAAAGCTACAAAATTTATTAAATTCAAAAGTTAAAAATCAATAAATCCTTATTTTTTTGTTACTTTAAACACTTTGCTCTTTCAAAAAGGTATTAACAATATTATTTTAAAGCTATTACATTACAATATTTTATAGACTATTACATTCCGTAAAAATTTAGACCTATTAGAAAATCAATTTCTTTTAGCCATTATTATTTACTTCCGAAACACCATAAAATCTCATTATTCATATTTCCCCTTTTTAAATAACAAAAACAGCAATATACAAGTTTACAAAACGTTTTTACCAGTGGTAAAGACATTTAACATACCTAGCAGTGTTTCCCGCAGACTTGTTAGTGTACCCGACTCCGCCTACATCCGGGTCAATTTGTGTACAGCTGCCACTTCTGTACTCCAAATTATTCTCATAATTGCCTTCTTTACCTCGCTCTAATTGTGTTATACTGCGGGCTGATAGTATATTAGGTTTCTATAAAAAAGGGTAAAAAAAACAAATTTAATTGTTTGTATATAAACTCATAAATTACTAGACTGGATTTAAACATTATTTTACTATTAGAAAGCTATTATCACCGAGTTATTTAGGATATATTTATTATTCGTACTTTGTTTTTTTTTTGTGCGGACAAAATCGCCAGTAAAATAGAATAAAAAAATCCAATAACATTGAGAGATGATATCTCATTATTACAATAAAAGAATTTTTAAAAACGGTTAAGAAGTTTTTGCGTTTATCTATTACTAGCTTTGGCCTACGACTCCGTCCGCGAGAAATTTAAAAATAACAAAGAGGAAATGAAAAAATATATCCTATGTTACTTACACAAAAATTACCTTTCTAACTGTGATAGATTATTTAAAATCGGCCCAGTAGTTTTTGAGCCTATTCAGTACAAAGGTTTCTTCTTTATAATATTAGTATAGACAAACATATATAAAACATTTTCTGATTAAAATAATTTAAATTGAACTAAAATTCCTTATATCACTAAATAAGTTAATTTTAATATAATACCTGTACATTAGGTTTGTTGGCGATATATTTAAGGCTTATTTCCACATCCATATAGGGTCGTCGCACACTGACATGCGGAGTATCGTCACAACGCAGCAGGTAACAGCGCTCGTGTACAGCCAGCCTACCCTCGCTGTTACAGAACTCTGATATGAACCGCTTCACATCTTCCGTAGGGATCAACTTACGTAGGTCTAAGCTGCAAATACCTGAAACAAAGTGGTACTAGGTAAGTTGGAACGTCTTATACTAGAGTAATCTATAAGGCAACGTGCCAACTATAGCTGTAGTAATATTTTTTAACTATAGAAAAGTATCTATAACTCTTTTGTTTTGCTGAGAAACATAAATTATTAAATTATAATAACACCGAAATTTCGGTGTTCGAAACTAGATAAAATTTTCGTGGACCCACATCTACTATGGAACCCCAACTTTGTTTCCAGCAATCGTAGAGTCCCCAATTTTGTATCTAGCGATCGTGGACCCCCTATTGTTTCTAACGACCCAAGACACCTCAATTAGATTTCCAGCGATCATGAACCCCCAATTTAATTTCAAGCGATTATGGACACTCAATTGTGTCTACTGATCGTGGACCCCCAATTTCACTT